ACCAACTACTTTTAAAATCCTTCTCCTATAACCTAAAGATTTTATGACGGACGACGAGACGAATCTAACGAATAGCGAAGATTCCCCTTCCTGTACAAAAATGCTATGAATATTCTTATATATTCTTATATATAGACTGAATGTCTATTTGTCTGTCTGTCTGAATGTATGTATGTCTGTCTGTACGTATGTTTCGAATAGAAAATTCCATTTCTTAACGATCCGGACCAAACTCGGCACACAAACACATTGGAGGAGGACGAATGTCATAGTCCATTTTTCGTTATCGATCGGTATCGATTTTATCGGTTTTTTGCAAAGTTTGAGCTACGGGGCTGAGAGTTGGCACAGGGGGGGGGGGGGGTAATCGAGCATGCTGATTACGAATACAGTATTAATTTTGAAATCTTTCTTTACTTTTGTCGATTTTATCGATTTTTTGTAAAGTTTGAGCTACGAGGCTGGGAGTTGGCACAGGGGGTGAGCATGCTGATTACTAACATAGAGAGAATATGGAACTGGCATGCAGAAGTGGACACAGAGAAGGGTTGTACAGGGATAGGGATGGGAGCTTTATCATAGTGTTTTGACAGGGCCGGGCAGAGCCGCGTAGGCCAGCTATTGCGAATATATGTCAGTTATTCCATCGATTTTTTTGCAAAGTTGTTTGAGCTACGGGGCTGGGAATTGGCACAGGGAGTGAAGCTGTTGCGAATACAATATTTTTAGAATTGTCTGTTACTTATGTCAATTATTTTATCGATTTTTTTGCAAAGTTTGAGCTACGGGGCTGGGAATTGGCACAGGGGGGGGGGGGTGAGGATGCTGATTAGTAACACAGCGGGAATAGTAGAAGTTGGCACAGGAAAAGTTTGTACATTGATAGGAATGGAACCTTTATCATAGTGTTTTGATAGGACCGGGCTGAGCCGGATAAGCCAACTTGTTTTTTGTAGTAAAATTCATTAATTTTTCGAAAACGATTACGACCATTCTAGCCTGATAGGAAAACCCCTTGATTCTATCAGCCTACATAGTTTCTGAAGCGGGCGACAAGAGGTATTTAAATGGCAAAAGGCTTCAGTTTTTTATATACAAGAGTTACAAGCATTCTCATGAAAAAAATCCCTCAAATCTAAAAAATGAACAGGACCAATCATCCTTTTTCCTGACAAGCTGTATCCCCTGGAATCGCTTGACAATTAGACTTTTTCTGAAATTTCGGGGTTCTGAGCCCACGAAAACTTTGGGGAGCATACCAAAAAATTTTTTGGCATAAGTGGCTGACGCCACGCACCTTCATCGGAGAAAAATTTTTGTCGTCCCCTCCCCCCTCCTTCCCCCCCCCCCCCCCCCCCAGCCGAAATCCGGGTGTATGTCAAGAGGCGCGATTTTTATTGCCAGAGGGACACCAATCAGTGCATAATCAGTATTTATGATCTTCTGGAAGCAATTCAAATTTATAAAAAGATATGCACATTTGTCCCACGCGTTGCTCGATCTTATCATTCTGAAATGGATGTAAAACATAAATGTTGGAGGTCAGAAATAGTGAAAATGCAGCTAATGCCGTTTTCGTGAATATTTCAATTGGGTTTTCACCGAAGCGGTCAAACTTAGCAAGTGGTAGCTTCAGATAGTCGGTAACCTAGATCACTTTGTTTGGTATTCTTGAGAGACTCGCACAGCTCTAAATTGGGCTATAACGTTGACGACCTCTGGAGAAATCGCGCCTCTTGACCGTCTCCCCCGAAATCCTGGGTACGCCACTGATAGGAGGGAGGCGGTCGACTGATACCCGGACAGCCGCTCGCAGCCGTACCGTGTGGTAATTAGCGAGGTGCGACGCGGCCCTAATTGCGATGCGAAACGCAGCAGCTCCTCTAGCTTCCCGAGTCTCTTTCGCTTAGGATCTCTCAGCATAGCACTCTGAGGTGCAAAACGACCTATGTCACGCATCACGCTTCAGATAAGCCGGTGAAACAGAAATAAATTCTAAATAAGACAGTAAATTCTGAATATTCAAGCCAATTGACGATCGTTAAAACAAATATGAATTTCAAATTCAAAGTTTAAATTCACTTTGTATGTTCAAAAAAGTTTAATCTTCTCCTACACTTCCCACAGCAATGACTTTACTGAGCTACCTTTACAGACAAAATCGCATTATAATTCTCAGTCAAGGTAAATTCTTTATTTGATTTTTGCTTTCTCAAATTGTTCCGCTTCTGAAAAAAAGATCCAACGTTTTCTGAAAGTTGCAGCTTTCCGTTACACGTAAATATAAATTTTTGCGTATTATATGTGGCACGATTAACAAAATCGGCAGTATTCAAATCATTCTCGGTGATAACCTAATTTATAGAAAGAAATGGCTGCAAAAAAAACCATCAAAGAGTAAAACAGGAGTTTTAGTGAGCTGTAATGACCTGATTCTTCTATCCGTCCATTTGCTAAGTTTTTACCGAGATCAAAACAAATGCAGATGACCTGGTAATCATTCCAAGAATTTGAGAGACTTCTACGAGTCATATTTTCAAAGCTACCTACCTTCTATTTCGATAATTTGAGTGTCAACCCTGCTACTCAGTTATTCGAAAATCAATTTTGAAATGACAAATATCTAATCAGTGCATTGCAGAATTTGAATAACTAGCTGGCTTACCCGGCTCCGCCGTATATTCCAAATAGAAAATTCCATTTCTTAACCAATCCGGACCAAACTTGGCGCACATACACTTCGGGCCCCGGCGGGTGTCACAGTCCACTTTTCGTTATCGATCGATGTCGATTTTATCGATTTTTTGCAAAATTTGAGCTAGGGGGCTGGAATTTGGCAGGGGGGTGTAATCGAGCGATTACCCCCCTGTGCCAACTCCCAGCCCCGTAGCTCAAATTTTGCAAAAAATCGATATCGTCGATGACGAAAAGTAGCCTATGACACCCGCCGGGGCCCGTAGTGTATGTGCGCCAAGTTTGGTCCGGATCGGTTCAGAAATGGAATTTTCTATTCGGAACATACGTACAGACAGACAGACATACAGACAGACATACAGACAGACAGACAGACAAACAGACATTCAGCTTTATATAGAAGGATAAAAACCATAAGTCAGATATAATGTTCCGTTCAGTAATTTCCGAACAAATAATTTACTTCATCAGACGAAATGGTCGGCCTAATTGATATTAGGTCTTCTCGCACCTCAAAGTGAGGTGCTGAATGGCGAGAGAGAGGTATTAGGTAAACAGAAGACGCGCGTAGCGCAAGCGATGCTGCTCGCACCTTCCTAATTACCACCCGATGCGGCTGCATGCGGCTGTCGGGGTATCAATTGATACGGCTCCCTGATAGGAGGATAACCAATCTACGGCAACAAGGTAAAAACAACAGTTGGCACAAGTATGATATGCGAGATCGAACTGCATACTGGCGACCACAGAGGAAAAAGCGTGGAAGATGGAAAGCGTAGGCAGGAGCACTCAAATTTAAGATTGTGATGATTTTGCGCCTCTATGGTAACAAAAGCTGCCAGCGGCTGCTACGGGCTACTGGCGGCTGTTACCGACTGCTACATGCTGCTGGCGGCGGCTGCGGGCGCGGTATGAAGGCACCCCTAGGTAGGTTTCGGACCGCGCGGGTATCCACCGGTACCCCTCCGAACCCGCGGGTACGCGTCTAAACCTGCAGGAACCTGTAATGAAGGAAGCGAAGGAAATATGACGAAAGTTGCATCTTGGAGCACGCGTGAAATATCGCGCGCGCTTTGAAACATGCATGTCACAAGTTACTCGATACGATTTCTTCTGCGTTTGGGTTCCGGCGTTCGGACGGGTACCGGCTGGTAACGGCGTGGTTTGAACCTGTCTTACATGGGCATCCACCTTCATTTTCCATCGCGTATCGTCCTGTCCTGTGCTCCCATTTCAACACATTGACGACAAGGCCGATTTTTCGATTACTGCCATTTCGGACAGGAGCCTTTTTTGCTCTGCCAAACTTACGACCCACCCGTGGGTCGTATTGTCCGAAATGATAGTCTTTTTGGAAGAAATTCAGAACATGTCTCCGAGAATTTCCCCACAATGGTTATCGAACGCGCTGATTACCAAAATATGATTTATTTCAGTTTTTGGCGTTCGTTAAGGTAACGGTAGTCATTTATGAACCCAACATCATGGATTTTCATGAAAATTTGTGTATTGGGGTTATTTCACGTGCTGATCACGATTATAGCGTCCACTTTGTTCACTACATTCTCACGGTGAGACTACGGTCAGTACGGCAATTTTCGTAGAAATCAAGAAACTGATGTTAGAAGGTGGTATCAAAACTTGAGACTATCATTTTCGTAATCAGCATGGTACAAAACCTATATATGCAAAGTTCGAGCTTCCTGGGATGAACGATACAAAAAATCAATAAAATCAATGAAATCGATAATTTTTTGATGGGCTAACGTCAGCTTCTTGCCTGCCCCGTATTACTCTTACATGTAAACTTGATTCTCCAGAAACAGCATCATTTTACGAAGATTTTAAGCTAAAGCTTGTGCCATATATATATCTACCGTATGCCTAACGTAACATTACATTACAGTACCGCGAGCCCGGACCACTCTGGCTGGAGCTTCACCTAAGTGCCCCCAATCATGTGCCAGAACCCCGTATAATTCCGTCGTAAACTGGCAAGACAGCGCTTCATGAATCTTACGACCCACCGGTGGGTCATATTGTCCGACATGGCAGGATCCGTACGACCCACCGGTGGGTCGTATTGTCGTCAATGTGTTAAACAAGGAGAAGACCGAGCAAGTGGCGGTGCAGGACTTTGCGTAAGTGTTTAGTTGAGAGACGTGCTGTCATTGAAATCTAAGAACCCTTGTCGCGCGGTGTGTTTGTACATTCTTCGATAAATCAATTTCTCTTAGGGGATATAGACCACTAATAACATTTCTATACTGCAAGTCTTCTGATCTTCTGTTATGCTACGATTCTAGTGCTCAAAGCAGAATGGATTCGCACCAGAGCTTCTGAATATTGCATGTGATGCTTCGATCGCTGAGCCCGTTAGACAGGCGGCCGTCATTTACCTTAAAAACACTATTGTACGCTTTTGGGAGGTGAGTGAATCGGAAGCGGTCAGTTCTTGACCTCAAACCCATCTCGAAAATTGCAGGGCGATGGATCAGTTGAAAAATCAAAAAAACCTGATTTTTGCTTGAGCGATAAAGACAAAGCTCTAGTTCGAGAACGCATCATTGACGCTGTTTGTGCGGCTGGCGAGTCGGTCAGGTAAGTAAATGTTTTTTTCTGGACAAACAAATCTGTTAATATAGGTTTGCGAGTTTATCCGCCTCAATGATTTTGTGATTTCTAGAACCCAGTTGTGTATTGCGATCCAGCAAATCATCCGTATGGATTTCCCAGCGAAGTGGCCTCAGTTTGTATCACAGCTTAAGGCAAAGCTGGCCAACCCACCCGATGCATCGGTGCTATCAGCTGGTCTTTTGATTTTTTATCGGCTTGGGAAAGTCTACGAGTAATTTATTTTATTGAAATGGTTTTCTCAGTTGTTGATCTCGCTATCTCAAGGTACAAGAGCAATAAAGAGAGAGATGATATAGCTAAACCTGTTTCCACGCTCGAACCATTAGTGTATTACCACTGTCATCAGCTGCTCCATAACCAATCCGCCGAGTCCGTCCTCATCCAGATTCAGGGACTGAAAATATTTTACGTTTTGATTATGGTAAGAATTCTTTGTGCAACATATCTTGCAAATTGATTTGGGCTTTTGTTTAGTTTTCCCTTCATTTTGGATCATTTTCAATATCCAGGCTAGATGAGTGGATAAAATTTGCCATTGAAATTCTGGCGAGACCATGCCCTTCCGAGGTATGTTTCGTTGTTTTAGACTGAGCTAGCTATCTAGCAAGGGAACTAAGCATACTCAAATAGTCACGTTGTTAGCTTTTCTGCACGAGGTGCAAATAAGGCGATTCTCAAATTCGTCGTCTTATATGCGAGCACCTCTGAGCTAGAAGTCGTCAGAATTGTTCGAGATCAGTATTCGAATGAAAGACTGCATCAAACGTTAGTTAAGGCCCGTATGCACGTACGTCCCCGCTGGGGAGGGGAGGGGAGTTGGATTCCCAGGGGAACGGTCCCCTCCACTGAACCCCGCCATGACAGAGGGGAGGGGAGCGATCCCCTTCCCTGCACCTCAGCGAGAATGGTGTGAATGGTCCCGAGGTATCTAACGTATAAGGAATCCTTAACTCAGTTCAAAAATCTGCAAATAGCGGGAAACCGCGCGGCGGTCGCGTAGCGAACGCTCTTCCAATTAGCACCTTTAAATTACTGGTTCACCAGTTGATCCAACGAACCCCGGTGCATACGGGGTTCGCGTGGGGGAGGGAATCCCTTTCTCCTCCCCACTCGATCCCGTATGCACGAGTGTAACTCAACAACGCGGGGGAGGGGATCGACATCCCCAACAACGGAGTAGGGGTTTGATGGTGTAGGTCATGCCAGAGAAGCGACTAATCTGGTTTCAATCAGTTATTACAAAGCATTTTGTTCAAATTGATGAAAGATTTTCCGGTAGCGGGGTTCCTTTCTCAGCGACCTGTAGCTTGCAGTTTTGTCTCTCTCTTCTATATTCGCTTCTCGTGAAGAAACCCGGGCATATATCTGCCAGTTTCGAATAACTGTAGGAGTTTCTAAACATTCTCGAGATTTGCGCATTTTTATATGACATGCTAGTTATATCCATGAAGACTGGTACAACACATTGTAACTATCATATTATATGATATGATGTCTTTATCTTGTTATTCTAACGTAAGCTGCTTTGAAAAAAAATGAAAATTAGCAGATTTGCCCATTTCTGAGTAGAGATCCTCGGGGGAGTGATCCCCTCCCCAGCGTTCCCCTCGTGCATAGCAGGGATGGCCGCTGGGGATCATTCCCCTGAGGTAAAGGATGACATGTCGCCAATAGCTACAGCGTTCATGGAGAGCTGGCACGATTTGCCGCTTCTGTTATGCGTAGAAATGCTGGTTAGTTCCCCCCCCCCCCCTCCCCTTTTCTTCGGCAGCATAGAGTCCTCTACCCGTCCTCTGCAGAGAGATCTGACTTTTATTGTTGAACACCTTTACGCTAAAATGGGCAGCATGAGCGAAAGTGAGCAGCATCATGACAACAGCAGGACTATATTGGGCCTAGAAAATATAATTTTTGGTGTGCCGAGCGCATTCACGGCATGTGCATTCCGCAACGCCTAAATCATTGCCGATGACGAAAATTGAAGATAAGCAGTCGTCAAAAGATGGAAATACAAAAAAATCGCCATATGAAAGCGAAAGAAAAGTGATGTTTCCGCTCGATCCCTTGTGCATAAGGGGGTTCCCTTCCCCTACTCCCAGGGGATCCCTTTGCCGATATTGTCTACTTGCATACGAGTGTTCGCCTAGGGAGGGGAGGGGAGCCCCAGCGGGGATCATCTCAGTAGTAAAACGCACATCCCCTCCCCGCGGGGATGTACGTGCATACGGGCCTAAGACTAAATCTCCTGTCAGAGCACTCTGTGAAAACACCTTCAGCCTATTCGATACATACTCAGCACCGAGGTTACCATTGCTTCGTCTGTGCATTAAGGAGGTATAGTCGTCCTCATCCCACTAGTCGGTCGGTGGTCGAATTCAAATTCGACCAGCGACCGACTAGTGGGGTGAGGACGACTATTGAATATTAACCTTATGCACGTTTGATTTTTACTTCAGTAAAAGACAATAACTTCTTGTCCTTGTGCTCCGCGGATAAGAAAGATATCTAGGTATCAGTGTTCCATGCCCCAAGATCATTACGTATTGCTTATGAGGCACTTTGATTCCATTTTCCTTGGAAGTGCACATTTTTAGCTTGATTCAATTGAAGACAGGGAAGAGCGCGCACATACTGTTTGGTGGAAGTGCAAGAAGTGGGCAGCAAAGATTATGGACAGGATCTTTGACAGGTATATATCAATCACAAATTATCACACCTCTTATTCACTTTATTTAACTAGATAAATGAAGTGCTTGTTTTATTAGTGCAATGCATGAGATGTGGTTAGTGGAAGCCATGAGCTAAGCAATGGCGCTGTGGAAAATAAGTCAGATTATGAAACTCTCTTTGGAAAAATGTCCTTATATTTGGTTCATGCTATCAAAGGGGAATTGTTATACGCTGCTGAAAGCAAAGCGGATTTGATCAGAGCTGTCGCAAAGGTTGGGCTAGACAGCGCTGATGATGCCGCGGTCGTAGTGGTCGACATCGATCCTGCCACAACAACTCCAAGGGCGTGCACTAACTCCCGCCGCAGGACTGTAACCTCGAAATTCATATCTTGATGCTCCAGACTGAGAAATTTAGTCCGTCCATCTTCAGATGTCCTTACTAGTCTATGCATAATAAACATCAAAAAAATTGCATTTTTGTATGAGCCGCGTTTTTCAACGTGTGATCCCTTTATGATATCCCGCGGCGGAGCATCTTTCATCTAAACTTCTCCTATATAGTTATCTAGCTGGCAGACCCGGCTCCGTCCGGCCCTGTCAATACGTGTGCATACAGACATACTAGCTGGCTTACCCGGCTCCGCCCGGCCCTGTCAAAACACTATGATAAAGTCCCTATCCCTATCCCTGTACAAGCTTTCCCTGTGCCTGCCCACTTCTACATACCAACTCCGCTTCCTATTCCCGCTGTGTTAGTTGTTAGTTATCAGCATGCTCACTTATCCCTGTGCGGATTCCCAGACCCGCAGCTCAAAATTTACAAAAAAAGGTCGATCAAATCGATGAAACTAGTGGATATTTTCAAGAACTAATATTGTATACGTAATCACCATGCTCGATTACCCCCCTGTGCCAACTCCAAGTCCTATGGCTTAACACGTTGACGACGAGCTGTTTTTTTTTGACGTCTGTCCCTGTGGACGAACCGTTTCCGGGCATTTTCACAGTCGGCTACATATATGTGTGTATGCATCTATGCGTGCGGTACAAAAATGCAAGTGGGCGGGGAAGCTCCGCCCACTTCTGGCAAGCCCCGCCCACTTTTCAAAAATGCTGGAAATTGCTCAAAATCAATGAATTCGTGGAAATTACGGCATTTTTGGAAAGTGGGCGGAGCTCGCCACTCAGGGGCGGGGTCAAAATCAAGATTATTTGGGTTTCCCCAGTCATTTACGAGCTTTTCTATGCGATTTGAGAACGAAAAAAGTTTTTTCTACAGGGCAACGGAGTGGGCGGAGTTTGCCAAAAGAGGGGCGGGGCCAACATGAAAAACTTCTGACCCTAAACTGATTATGTGAACAGGAATTGGAACCATTGTGCACATTCGAACTGGTATTTAGGGTGTTGCGCACCATTGCGCGACATCGTCCACAGGGACAGACTGCCTGTCGCGCACCATTGCGCGACACTGTCGTCAACGTGTTAAACTTTGCAAATATTGATAAAATCGATAAAGCCCTCGTAGCTCAAACTTCGCAAAAATCGATAAAATCGATATTGGTAGATGACGAAAAGTAGCCTATGACACCCGTCCGGCCCCGAAGTGTATGTGTGCCAAGTCTGGTCCGGATCGGTTCAGAAATGTTTTCTATTCGGAACATACGTACAGACAGACATACATGCATACAGACAGACATACAAACAGACATTCAGCTTTATATATAAGACTAGTTGGCAAACCCGGCTCCGCCCGGCCCTGTCAATAACATATTTGTAATCAGCATGCTCGATTACCTCCCTGTGCCAACTCCCAGCCCCGTAGCTCAGATTTTGCAACAAATCGATAAAATCGATATCGATCGATGACGAAAAGTAGCCTATAACACCCGCCGGAGACCGAAGTGTATGTGTGCCAAGTTTGGTCCGGATCGGTTCAGAAATGGAATTTTCTATTCGGAACATACGTACACACATACAGACATACAGACATACAGACAGATCCGGACCATTGGCACACATACACTTCGGGCCCCGGCGGGTGTCATAGGCTACTTTCCGTCATCTATCGATATCAATTTTATCGATTTTATCGATTTTTTTGCAAAGTTTGAGCTACGGGGCTGGGATTTGGCACAGGGGGTAATCGAGCAGGCTGATTACGAGTTCGATATCAGTTTGGCCGCTATTCGGCTATCCGGGCCCCAAAATTTTTTTGTGATAGAGCTTGCTCAAACTTCGTATATAAGGGTTATCTTATATGCTGATTACAGATATCACACTTTCTCCGCAGAACGTCTTCCCGTGTGGTTACGATAGGTGTACGTTCGGAAGCCAAAATCATGAATTCGGCTGGAGTTCGGTTTACATGGCTTATTCGACATGCTAATTACGAATATCATCTCTCTCTCTGCATATTGGGTCCTTTTCATAGAGTTGTGGTGGTTATATGGCATGGGCTCGCAAACATAGATTTGCTTTAAATTTCGTCTAGGGTGGTCATTTAGCGCGCTGAACATGAATATCATTGATTTCGCAGGATAGCGCATTTTCTTGGGTTACGGTGGATGTAGATGGGTCGAAGTTCCAGATTTGCTCAAAACCTTACCTGCAACGGTTCACAAGTATATCGCTTATGAATATGATGCTTGCTTGCTGTCATAACGCAATGAATTTATGGGGAGTTGCAGGGTTTGAATGGACAATTTTTCTCTTTCGGGCCAATTTAGATCCCAGATATTCAAGAGTTGGGGAAACGGCCATTTTGCATGGCGGTCTCCAGCGCCATCCTGATAACCTGTCCCAACGCGCAACGCGCGCGGCAAATCTCCCTTCCCCTGTTTTTGCTTAGGCAAAAGCCGCCGAAGGATGTATCGCGCGCGGCAGTGGTCCTATAAGGAAATTGATAACCTGTCCCAACGCGTAACGCACGCTGCAAATTCCCCTCCCCCTGTTTTTGCTTAGGCAAAAGCCGCCGAAGGGTGTCTCGCGCGCGACAGTGGTCCTATAAGGGAAGGCATTACGGTCGTGGGAAACTTTTATACCACACGAATTGTTTTTATCGTGGGGATTAAGCACGATATTCTTGAAACAGCTTTTTAGGTGATTCCCTGCCAAGGTTTCAGGCAGGTTTATGATTTTTACCCGCTACCATGTACCTACCGTAACTCTGCGAAAAGGTCTCAAAACGCAACGAGAGTGTTTTGAACGTGGTCAGAAGGTCGAATCTTTCTAGACCGAGTTTCAGCCAAAACTGAGATTTCGCCCCTCTGCAGTATACCTACCATAACTCAATGAAATCGCCTCAAAATGCCGAAGGAGTGTGATATTCGTAATCAGCATGTCAATTAGCCCCCCCCCCCAAAGTTTCAGCGAAATACATGATTTTAGCTTCTTATGTGTACCTAACGTAAACCCAGAAAATGGCGCTATATCGCGCGAAATGACTACGATATTCGTCATCAGCGGCTTTAATAATCCCCATGTACCGACTTTGAGCAAGATCCATCACAAAAACATTTTGGGGCCGGATAGCCGAATAGCGCCATCAGTTTTCAGAATTATCCTTACTTTTACCGGTTTTATTGCTTTTTTTGCAAAGTTTGAGCTACGGGGCTGGGGGTTGTTGAGGGAGGTAGGTGGGCATGCTAATTACTAACACAGGGGCAATAGGGATTTGCATGTAGAAGTGGGCACAATGAAAGGTTCTACAGAAAAAAGGTATAAGACCTTAATTAGCATTGACAGGGCCGGGCGCTCAGATAATCGCCGGGGGCAGGCGGTCCGCAAACTCGCGCTTTTCTGCAGGCGGTCAGCAGAATTTTGGGGCGTGGCCAAACCTTCAGCGGGCGGTACTTCCGCGTTCTGCCAGCGGGCAGCAATACAGAATTTTCTGCGAGCGCTCGTCAAATAATATCTTCCAGCGAGCGCTGGCCAAACTTTCAGCAAGCGCTCAAACTCTTTTTAGGTATTTTCGGGCGTACGTCGAGCGCAGGTACTCAGATAATCGCGGGGGGCAGGCGACCATGCGATCTATGTGCAAGCGGGCACCGGAAAAATAGTTTGCTGAATTGTCGTAGCCCGCACGTCAATGTCCGGGTCTCCGCGCGCGATTTCACTCGGAAACTGTTCAGAACAATCGCTGCTACTTTGTCAAATTTTTGCAGAGCGCTCGCTTAGTGGTTGGTCTCCGCTGACTCCTTACCATCGCCCGCTCGCAGCCTTTTCGATGCGAAAACTCCGTTTTATTGTGAGAATTTGAATGACAATTGGCAGCGCGACTGATTCGCGCTCGCTAATTTTTCGTAGATTGGCTGATGATTGTGGCTGCGAAAACAGCTCCCATTTCGGCGTAATGGCATCTGCACACCAGCAATACACATTTGATGAAAAAATTTATTGGTGCTATCAAATAAAACCAAAAATCCCTATAGATAAACCAGACAACCAGACAAGACAGTTTGCTCCTGTTTTTATTATTAGTACGTTTGAAGCATTCGCCAGAAATCTCAAGACAGTACACAGGAAATGCGGACCATAGTCGATTAACTTTAATGGGAAACCGTCTTCTGAGGCGCTGCGATACCGATCGGTTGATGAGGCTCGAACTAGAAGAAAATGAATATTTCTTTTTAGCATTCCATCACCTTCGTAGTCAACCTGCAAATTGATCCGATGTCAATTTCTTCATACCGTCGCTTAGACAAAGTCGTCGACGCTACACTTGTGAGCGGGAAACGATGCCATGTATAGTTGACTGGCGAATGCCTAAGGCACAGATTATGACGGTTAATATTGCCAGTAAAGCACCAAAAGCAAAATTTTGAGATTTTTTTTCAGATGAAATGCAGAAGAAACCGATAGAAAATAAATCTGAAAGTTCAATTGAAGCTGTCAGAGAAAGTACTTCAGAATTATTCTGGCAGCCATTTTCTTGCCTAGCAAAAGCTGTAAAATGTGGCCAGTGTCTGGCTCTTATTAGCTGTTCTAGCTAAACTAAATACCTTTTGGCAATCTTTCTGTGACAAGTTTGAGGGGAGAAGTTCATGATTCCAGTGATAGTCGAACAGATGTGTCTTCAGTTCCCCGTAATCTCGCTGCTCACAAACACGGCATTCCGCGTCTCGAAATTTTCGTATGATATCTTTCGGTGACCGTGAACATTGACCACACAGCTTTATCTTATACAAATTCTCGCGCTTTGAAGATCTTGAAGATCGCTTGTTGAAAATTAGCTTATCGCACGAGCGTTTGCATCATACCGCTCGTTCTATAAGGCGTAGCCAATTGCTGAAACTTCGCTTGCCGCCCACAACGTTGCAGAAGATAACCGCTTGCTAGATAAACGACAGCCGCACATTGGGGTTTTGCCTCCGCCCGTGAATATGTGATGAGCGCTTGCCCAAACTTGCAACATCTGTGTCCGCCTGATAATATTCGCTAAATAATTGAGGTCCGCTCGCTGAAGGTTTGGCCGCGCTCAAAAATTTTGCTGACCGCTTGAAGAAAAGCGCGAGTTTGCGGACCGCTTGCCCCCGCCGATTATCTGAGTAAGACTCTGTGTGGCAGAGGTGTCACCGTTGGTTTAATTACTCAAGTTTGAGGTACTTTCTCTCAGCGGAAAATACCTGGGGGTTGCGCGGTCCTCCACAAAGGAACGTGCGGCTCTCGAAATTTTTGCATATTCTCGCGGAAAGTCCGCGAGAATGCGGCCACTGCGCCGCAGCTTATCCATAAAGAAACCGCGATTGCTCTTCAAGCATTCGTCTTTAATTTTGCCAACTTTCTTTCAAATTTCTGCAAGCGGGCCGCAAAAAATCAACGAACTATTTTTCCGGTGCGCGCTTGCTCAAAATTCGTATGGCCGCCTGCCCCCGGCGGTTATCTGAGCGGAGCCGCTCAGATAATCGCCGGGGGCAGGCGGGCACCGGAAAAATAGTTTGCTGATCTCTCGCACCCCGCTCGCGGATTTTTTGCAAAGCAATCAGGACTTTTCGGAAGACCGCTTGCTGAATTCTCGATTCCTCAGAGATTCAGCAATATATCTGCAAAAGATAAGAGCGAAAAAAATTCAGCTGGCGGTCTCTCAAAAATCCGCTGACTTAGCGAGCGGTCTTCCGAAAAGTCCCGATTGCTTTGCAAAAAATCCACGAGCGGGGTGCGAGAAATCAGCAATCTATTTTTCCGGTGCCCGCCTGCCCCCCGCAATTATCTGAGCGGGTAAGCCAGCTAGTATAAGATACAGGCCTCGTGAATTCAATTGCCCAAGCTTCGCTTTGAACACCAACGCGCGGCGTGGCTGGAAACGTTTGGTCCCGAAGCGCTACAGGCTTTTTGCGAGCGACAATGAGCGCGCACCCTTTCCACACGTAATTTTTCAAACTTTGAAGGGAGCTTTCGTCAAGATATACCTTGCATTGACCTTTAGATATTCAGAGCTTTATACAGGACTAGTTGGAAAACCCGGCTCCGCCCGGCCCTGGCAATAACATATTTGTAATCAGCATGCTTGATTACCCCCTGTGCCAACTCCCAGCCCCGTAGCTCAATTTTGCAAAAAACCGATAAAATCGATAAAAGTAATGGACGATCTTGAAAACTAATATTGTATTCGTAATCTGCATGCTCGATTACCCCCTGTGCAAAATCCCAGCCTCGCATGTCAAAATTTACAAAAAATCGATAAAATCAATAAAAGTAATCGATAATCCTGAAAACCAATATTGTATTCGGAATCCCCATGCTCGATTACCCCCCTGTGCCAACTCCCAGCCCCGTAGGTGTTCAGCAAAAAAATCGATAAAAATCGATAAAATCGATATCGATCGATGACGAAAAGTAGCCTATGACACCCGCCGGGGCCCGTAGTGTATGTGTGCCAAGTTTGGTCCGGATCGGTTCAGAAATGGAATTTTCTATTCGGAACATACGTACAGACATACATACAGACAGACAGACAGACAGACAAACAGACATTCAGCTTTATATATAAGAAGATAGCTCGTTCCAAATATAGCTCACTTTGTAGATATGGGTCTCCTAACCAGGTGTTTGATACATACGCTAAATTTGCTAACCACTTTTTGACGACCTGGTCTCGGCCTGCTCTCGGAACTATGCTCATGATTCTGCATGAACAGCGCAATGGAGCCTACGTTTCAGACAGGGTAATTACTTTACGACAATCATAATATGGTACATCTTCGAAGTTTGGCCATTAAGGTGCTCTATCTTGCTTTGGCGTTTACGAATACTGCTGTCGCTCACTCTTTCTGCTGGAAGACCATGAAGCCGGATGCCTTGGTTTGTTACTTGCGTCATTTTATTCCTCTATGTTGATGAGCACTTTCGTCATGCGAGTTCCGACCTATGATGACAGCTGGATCCAATTTGACTGTAAAAATCTGAACATCGGTTGGCGCTTAAATTTGTCTTATTTCGGGAGTAAAGAAGAGATAGTCGTACCAAATAAATGTGTCAATGGCGCTAATTCGAGTTCGTTTTGCGATGTGTGAATTGTTACTTTTTTGGAAATCTTGGGTTTTTGTGAGTGTCCACTTGATCGGCTTAGTTGCATATGCTGAAGATGCAGTTTAATCACAGATTTGCGTTGTAGGCTTGATCTTTCATCCTTGAGTATGCTAATCACTGAAGGTATGACTTAATCCGAAAAAAAGATCCCAAAATTTACTTATAAGTGAGCAGTGATCGATTTTTTCGGTACCTGATATCAAGTATTCGTCTATGAAGGTACAGTTTTCGGCCAAGATCTGGAATCTTGCAACGATTTAGTAGATTACTATCAATGTAAGGGCTTATCAAATGGAGAGTCAAGTGGACCAGCATCTTCGCTGCCGCGCGACTGTCTCGCCTGGATTCTGCTTCTTCCCTGAACATGCTCTCTTACCACTTTTTTCCACCACGAGCGTCGGCAAGGCGGAGCTTCAGTTGCTGATCAAGCGCCCAGAAAAAATCAGAGAGCGTGTTTGCGAAAGAGATTCAGTACCCAGGCGAGCGGAGATGCTGACGCACCCGACTCTGCAATTGATAAGCCTTGTAGATGGATTCTTACTTATCTTGGCAATGAACAGTTTCAGGATTTGATAAAGACCGTATTATTTCCACTGCTATCTTACACCAAAGAAGATGAAGAAATGTGGGAAGACAATCCAGAGGAGTACGTTCGCTTCAAATTTGGTATGTTTTCCTCATTAGTCGAATTATAATATGCTGTTTCGCACTGCTTCTGCTGTGCATAAGTTCTTTTGGTGAGGAGGTTTTATGAAAATTTCAAAACCATCCTTCCCCCTTCCATTCAGATCATACGCATCTCTAAGTGGTGATAAAGTTAGGGACTAGTTGTGTATTACTAATATATTAGGTTGTCCTGAAAGTTTTGTCGGTTTTTTCAAACCACTGTAAAACCACTTACAATAAAGATCTGAGTGAATGTCAAAATGCATTTGATGCACCTTTTCCTTCTCTTTCTTACGGTTACATTTTCGTACCACAATCTTATATCCTTTCTTTATAATTACCAAAATTCCACACCAGTCAATTTTACCTGCTCAAAGTTAGCCTAATTATTAAAAATTTCATTCCAAAGTTTCGAAAAGGGTTAAGCATGGATCAAATAGAGCAAATCTCGGACTACAAAGTGGTATTTTTAGATTCTCCTAATCTGCTATTTTTAGCTCCAAGAAATTATTTCTCCGGAGGTCTCCAGTTTTGGCAAAGTCATGAAACACGCAACTGCATCAACTACACGAAAGCTTTTATAATCTCTGCGTATTGAAACATGATTCTTATCAAGCATTATTTATGCAACATAACAAACTTTAATTCGCTTTGAAAAAGCAGCTTCTTGGATTTTTTAGTATTTTTACCTGTTAAACTTAAGCAAAAAGCCGCGGTTTTTATTGAATAAATGATTATAACGGACTTGGTAAACGCGGCTCATTTAATCTAAAATAGAGACAATGTAGCCAAAGGTTTGCTCTACATAACAGTAGCCAGCACTCTTTGGAAACATCAGAATAAAAAGTTATAAAATTCAGGAAAAATTCCGCGTTACCACTGAGCTGCTCAAAAAGCCATAGCGATAACACTGCAACGACAGAGTATATTAGAGAGCAAGTGTAACTGTAAGAAAGAGAATAAAAATCTAAATCAAATGGCACCTAAGCCGTCCATGGATTGGTGTTCTGTGGGTTTTAGTGAGCGGTGAGAGAAACCGACAAAACTTTCGGGACAACCTAATAGTTAGGACCGAATATTTTTGAAAAAAAAAACGAAAAATTAATTTGTTCAAATATTCGAAATTTCATTCGAATATACGAATAATTTATTTTTTCTCTTTTTCGAATGAAAAGATATTCAAATGAAGGTCTTTTTCATTTATCTGACTACTCGAATGATCAGATAAATGCACTTTCCTAAATTATTTGTCTGTTCTAGTTCGATAAATATTTCGAATACGAATATTCGAAAATATTTGGTCCTAACTATAATTCCTACAAGAATCCGGAGCAGTACAGTGTGCTTTTCAAAGGCAGCGTACGGGCAAGATCTCACATCTATGTTTCCGGTGTTTCTGGCCCTGTCGACGTCCCTGATTCCAATTTTGAGCTGAAAATTGCGTGAAATCCCCAAAAACCCCCGTTTCTAAAACTCGTTTTGAAAACGTGGAAGAGTATTCCAACGCTAATTTATTGCAGCAACGTGAAACATGTATCACAGACAGTGGTACATTGCAGGTGCAACTTGAAAGTGGCGCACGTAGCCTGTGAGCTCTTCCGTGCAGGTGTTAGGGGAGCGGAAGGTGGGAGGGGAGCGGTGCTTAGCCCGCCTGCTTGGCTTTCAGAGTTTAAATTTTCGGAGCGGGGTCGCTGTTTTGGTTCAGTTCAAAGGGCCTCTATCGAACTGTGTCAACATCTGAGGTGGGTCAATTTTGCCCGGACGCTGCCTTTAAGCGGCACGTAGGGCACTTTCTTTTAAACAGACATTGTGTAAGGACACATAGGGCATTTGGTTGGACAGGTTGATAGATTGGGGGGCGATGGGGCGGTGAGGCGGTCCTTGTAATTGAATGTGGCACGTAGGGCAATCTGAGGATAAATGCTTGATGCGTTGTAAATGCTTGACTTCATTGTTTTTTCTGTGGGAACCGTAAGATAGTCTTTCTAACAAATCTGGTCTTCAAGGCGCACTCAGGGCATGTGTTCGTTGCCGAAAATCTCGTCGCTTAATGATATCAATTGATCACATTTGCCTAAACCTCGCCGAATATAGTGACAAAATGGCGCAAGAAAATTCAGTAGTCATGGTTTTGGGGGTGGGGTCTCTTTTGGAGTAATATTTATTGATGTGACGAAATCTTAATTTGGAGGACTTTTGACAAGTTGAGACAACTGATGTTGTTGCTGTCAAATTGATTTTGAGAGAAAAACTATGTTTTTTGTGGTATACTTCATTGTCATGGATGTTCTCTTCTCCTACTTCCAAAACGATGTGTATTCTGCTAATTTCCTAACGATCTTTCATGAATCTTGTTGAGAAAAGGAGTAGAGGACATTAGGTTGCCTAAAGGGGAGGTCTCGCGCTGACATTTGCAACAAATTAAGCGCCTTCACGATTGCTGCCTCATGCTAGCAAGGCAGAGCCTATCGGCGACCTGATGTTCTGCACCCAAAACTGGATGAAGCAATTTTTTCGAGAAGGCAGTAGAGTGGAGTCTCTTTATTATCGGAATGAGTCTCCGTAGGGGGAGGGCGGGGGGGGGAAGGATTTTTGCAAAGAAAGCGTGATACTTGAAAAAAAATTCCCACAATCTTGCATGGTTATGGCTGGGCTTTCGAATAATGGTGAATGATTTATGAAGTTTATGCATAAATGCAAACTAAATTAGGGCTTTTTAAGTACGCTCTTTTCAATTATAAGAATTAAATCCGCTTCAGAGCCCGCCAGGGATCCCTTGTTGATTTCGAAACGAGAATTCTAAACAGTATGGAAGTTCACCAGACAGAGTGAAACCTGCTTTAGTGATCTCAGAAACGCTCTTTTCGACTACATAGAGAACTTTGTTCGGAGTCTTCATATTCGGTCTTATATATAGGGTGTCTCAAGAAGATGTGCTTACTGTCTGATTGTATAGGGTGCGGAAAAAGTACTGTCTTTCTAACTTTGCACCTGAAATACCTCAAACATGAAGTAAATCTGTAGTTTTTTGGTTCCCGCACGTAGGCGAGATCCCTGAAATTAGATAAAGATAAGTTTGATTTGAAGCTGTTCCCTTCTGTCCGTTTGAACGAGTGATAACAGCGCGCAAGAACATTAACGATACGCCGATAGCATACAAGCACGATTTTGGACCGTGATTGGACGGTGACTATACCACCAGCATTGCTATAAGGTTCAAATTGAGCTGGTATGTAGTGCATGACCCCTTCTCTAATATTCTATACCCATCATAGATGAATTACAGATTAGTGACTCTTGTTTTGGCCAAATAAGGAAGATTATACCACACACAAATCGCAAAAATTCTCGAAAAAGAGGAGAATCAGGGCTGCGCTTGCTTGATGAATCGGACTCAAACTATGATTCGAAATTCCAGATTCCAACAAAAAGTAACAAAAATAATGAAAAGGCATCGGGCTTTGTCTACATCACGATTTTGAAGCGATAAACGATTATAGCTAGTCTCTGTGCCATGTTTTCTGATCGCACTCTCTTGCGCCGCAGCCACTTTCTTGTCAGAAAAATGCACAGCTTTTCTTCTAGTGCAAGTGCTGACTGGATACTTTCAGAATATTTCGGGATCCACTACACCACATTCCTTGAGCAGTAGAGGATTTCTTAAGTTCGCGTGACAAACAAAAAAATTTCTTAAAAATCCTCACATTTCTTCAGATTTGTAAAGGGGAGTTGCAAGATTTGATATGAAATGCGTTGCGAAAAGGGATCCGCCGCCGCTCAGACAATCGCCGGGGACAGGCGGGCACCGGAAAAATAGATTGCTGATCTCTTGCACTCCGCTCGCGGATTTTTTGAAAAGCAATCAGGATTTTTCGGAAGGCCGCTTGCTGAGTTCTCGATTTCTCAGAGATTCAGCAATATATCTGCAAAAGATAAGAGCGAAAAAAAAAATTCAACAGGCGGTCTCTCAAAAATCCGCTGACTCAGCAAGCGGTCTTCCGAAAAGTCCTGATTGCTTTCCAAAAAATCCGCGAGCGGGGTGCGAGAGATCAGCAATTTATTTTTCCGGTGCCCGCCTGCCCCCGGCGATTGTCTGAGCGGGTAAAATTGTAGAATTTTGAGGACAGTTTTTGTAAAATGATAGAATATATTCCTATCTTGGGAATTATGTCAAATTTCCCAGAAAAACCTATGAATTACGCCAATTTTTTGAACTTTATTTTGAGGGACAGTACTTTTCCGCACCCTGTAAATAACTCTCTTGTAATGAAGTGTTTCGAGAAGCTTTAGGTACTTTGTAGAGCGAGGTTAAACTTAATACGGTATGGAGCGAATCATATCGCTCTTCATTACTGTAGGATTACAGTACGAACTTCGACAAGGATTTTAGACCATTGGAGGCTCTATTCTGCCTCGGGACAAAACCAAGCAAGCCAGGAACCCTTATACTACGGTAATGGGAACGCTGATTTAACTTGAAATTCCCATTTCACTGTGATGCTTCTTAAGTTATCCCCCGGTAAATCGTAACAACTCAATTCCCAGCATTTGTCAGAAATCTCAGAAAAAAAAGCTGAAAACACTTGTAAAAAGTTGTTAGGTGGAATCAGCATGCGCGAAAATCCTAGTACACGATTTTTCAGATTTTTTGAAAAAAATTTTGTTAGGTGGTATATTTCACAATGGTTCCATATGCTGGAAGTTCTTACCGTAGTCCTACAGTAATAAAGAGCGATCGGTGATTCGTTCCATACTATAGATCTAAGTTGAACCTCGCTCTACAGAGTGGTACCTAAAGCTTCTCGAAACACTTCATTACAAAAGAGTTATTTACATTCAAACAGTAGGCAATCCTTTTGGGACACCCTGTATAAAGCTGAATGTCTTTCTGTACATTTGTTCCGAATAGAAATTTTTATTTTGAGTTCAGAAACTTACACATACACTTCGGGGCGGGGTGGATGTCATAGGCTACTTTTCGCCATCAATCGATATTGATT